ATATATATATATATATATATATAAGAAGAGATGATAAGAAAAAATTTTTTTCCCATTAAAAAAACAATATAATAATTATTTACAAAAAAAAATATTAAAAGATCATATTTATGAATTATTTTGATGATCTTGAAATATCATAGATTTATTATAGATTATATTATTAAGAAAAAATTGTTCGGAATCATTATCTTAATGACATATTTCAAGATTATAAGAATTGAGTAACTCTTTTTCTAAACAATTATCAAAATTATATCAACTAACCTTTTTAGCATTATCACTGTCCTCATCTAAAACACCCATATCTCGTCCTTGAGCTGATGCCAGTCTATTACCCTGAACAATGTTGCCCACCATGACACTGGCCGGACCAACGTCTGCAACAGAATCCCCCGCTACACGCCCCCGCACCATTCCGTTAGTAAACCAACACAAACACTCAACCCAATAATGAGTAGCTCACACACTCTCCCCTGACTGAGGCCGGAAAATCAAAGCTAGGTACGTGAACTGGTTCGTTATTGTCGAAAGGTGATTAACGCACGTTCTTTATAATAGACGTGCTTTGGGCATTCCATGGACTGTACATACTTAATAAACAAAATAATTCAGTGCTTCTTCAAACGTACGATGAAAATAGCGATGTGAAATTAATTAAAAGCATTCGTATAAAAAATATACTTGATCATAGGTGCGCATAAAAGTTAAGATACGTTTGTATATACACAAAAAAAGATAAAAGAAAAAAATCTCACATCGCTAAGAAATAATTTGTCTATATAGGACTACTACAGGGTGTTCGGAACTCAGCCAAAAGAAAGAAGGGCAAAAATAATAGAACAACATGCTAAGCATTAAATATTTTAGTTGGGTGGGTTAACAATACATGATATGTAGCAAGAGACAGTTATATACTTTGTACATTTGTGCTAAGTTACTGAAGCCTACTGATAACTTTATAAGAAAGCGTATAAGTGTTACGTTCCTTCGCGTTAATGAGAATTTTTGAATAGAGCGAAATTCGGTAATTCGCGCGAATTAATAATAAAAAAGAACTGCTCATTCATTCTCCCATTAATCATTCTCATATATATATATATTTAAGCGAAATTATCCAACAAATTGATAAATTTTTCCAATTTTACCGATCATCAAATCAAATCTCTAATTTTCAATTATTCAATTTTTCGTATCGATTTCTTGGGTTTTCGCTTAAATTATAATACGCAAAGAAAAAAACGAAGTAATATTACAACAAAAAAAAAAAAGTGTATATATGTCTTTGTACTTGCTGACATTCATGTAATTCATCGAAAGTCCGTAACTTTAATCGACACCTGGTTCGGGAATAGTACTCACAGGTGAATATGCAATCTCTTACCTGAATGGACTTCGCGTGGTTTCGGTAGATTGGTAACGCAAGTGTGCGGACAAAGAAGAACATTAGCCGGATGTAGAGTACCCTCTAAGAAACGTCGCTTCGTTTCCGACAGATGAATGCCACCTAGCGGTGTTTTCGGAAGATAATTTGGCGGGACCAATGCCAAACAATATATTCCAACCGCGTGAATGGAATCTACCGCTTGAAGGACACGAGACATCCATTGGAAACTCTGTGGTAATAAG